TATATATATATATATATATATATATATATATATATATATAAAAGAAAGGATTAACATGTTATAAAAAATAGCTCGTGACAGACAAGGCACTATAGTAGACAAAAGTTAATCTGAAGAATGCCGTAGAATGGACCGGTTGAAAAAACCTGGAAGGATGATGAATTATGTCATATAACAAATATGGGAGAATGTAGCTATTGACTTGGAATTATATATAAATTTATTTACTGAGCTGAGGTTAGTAGAGTGTAAGGCTGAATAGAGAGAAATAATAAGAAGAAGAATGTAATACACCAGTTTTGAAAATGGATTGAATTCGAACTTCTGGGTTGGGTATACATTAACAGACTGAGCCAATCAGTACAGATAAGAACAGACTGAAACAGACAGGTAGATATTAATAGATAGATAGATAGATAGATAGATAGATAGATAGATAGATAGATCACAGCTGAAGTCCAAATTAATATGAAGCCACAATCTCTATATAATTTCATTTCTTCGCATACTTTTTTAAAAAATACCCTTCACCTTATAACGTGGTGGCATCTACCCGTTTCGTGCGAAACGATTCTTAAAATTATAGAAGCTTAGAAAACCAGTTGTTGGATTATCAGAAAATAATCTTATTTATAAATAGCTGATTGTCTAGGTAAAATGTTAGTTACGCCACATTCGTGCGGGCACCTAGTGGAACTCTCACTGAAACAGCCCCCCCCCACTACCGTTTTGAAGTTCAGAATGTGGCAAATATTCTAGTCATAAATTTGATCTTCCATTGGATCTTTGGAATTGCAGCGATTCAGCTCTAATGTAACCAAGAAACCATAAGACATTATGATACGAGAGTCAAAAGTCATGATACTTTTAAAACAGAAATATGAGAAGAGAATTTCAATCTCGAAAATAAATGTTTTCTATGAAATTATCAAAATGGTTTAATTCTTTTTGATATTATAAAGTGAATTGTTTCCATTCTCAGACTAAGAAAATAAACAGAATAAGTTAAAATTAAAATTAACTGCCTTTATAGAATCGGTTCCTGGAAATTTGGATGCCACCACTGCATATACCTATCTTGACTATCTATACCCTGATCAATTGAATGTTTCTTATTGGTATCGTTCTGTTCATATATATATGATTGGTGCAAAAGTTCCTTGCATAATTTTTTGTACAATATCAGGGATATCGTTAAGTCTCATTGAATTTTATTCATCAATCTATTGCTTGTGAGTCCAGTCAATTGTAGCCCGCGGTTTGCGAACCTCGCATTCTTTCAAACGATAAAAATGCTTTTCATAAAAACTTACGAAAAATAACATCGGTCAACGTTTAAACATTGATACCTTTTTTCTTGCCCGTTAAAGTTATTTTTCAACAAAAATCAGTTAATTAAAAATGAATTTATAATGAGAACTGGGAGAAAAGGTGACTAAATCTGATACAGCCTCCAACGTCAGTGTCAAAATGGAAGCTGCTGCGGTGTATTTATTAACTCTGTTTCACTACAGAAGGACAACAATTTTACATGTGGTAGAATAGAAATACAAGGCGTAAATCTAATCACATGATTTAAATACACGTGATGATTACATGACTTTTTTACTAAATTTCATACAAGGCACAAGATCTACTCGAAATGGTAATCGTAATGATGAACGAGGAAAAAGTTATAAGGGGCCAAGATTATGAGGATAATTCGGGCAACTAACGATTGACTCTTAAAAGGAGGTGATCAAGAAAGAACCCCACGCGAGAGTATATTCTTCAAAGTGACACTTTTTGAGAAAAAGCTGTTAAAGAGGTAGACCATTCTTACATTTGGAACACGGAGTAAATAAGTGTGATTCAAATTCGTGCAAATAGCGAGGTGTGTCTATTCAGTAAAGATCTGAACAGTTGCAAGTAAAATATGGAACTCTTCTGAACACAGACTTTATGAATTTAAGCGCAGTACTAAATTGGCAGTAAGGTCCCATCATTTTACAGTTGAAATATCTAGATACAACCGAAAATCCTATGCTAACAGTTTCTTCTGTTGCACTTTTGTCTCGTGGCTTCATGCTTTCCAGTCAAGTTTGATCTTCACAAATTTAAATGCAGTGTCAATCGTTGTGTTCTGTCTTCCTAATTTCCGTTTTTCTATCGTTTTTATTCTTTAATAATGTTTTTCATTTTATTATATTATTTCACACTCAGTGACCACCCCACTACGTCTTAGTGGTTTTATTGCCTTGCTTGGAGTGAAATGATAAACAAAAAAGAGCCATAACAAGGGAAGTCTGTGAAAGTTTTACCAATAAAGATGAATATCATATTTTTATTGATTTTGAAGAATTTTATTACATTGCTGTTGAGACGAAACTTTCGAGAAATTAAAATGGCCGTGTGCGAAACAGTTATGATATTTTCCTAAAGTAAAACAAACATATATGTAATTCGAGAGACTCAAAAGTAATGTTGGAACAAGAAATAATACAATGAATAATGAGCTCGTTTGAATTACGCATTATAATAGAAAATGCCTATTATTATCTGGACAGGTAAACGTTATACTGTGAGATAACGCTGGTCTTCATGTTGCAAATAAGATGCAGCAAAAACCATAGGAATTTTCTGCTGCATACAGCATCATTTTCAAACCCTCTCACATCCATAAATCATTTTTTTGCTCCTTTCAACAGCATTTCCATCAAATTCCCTCGAAGTATTCATCGAATCAAAAGTGGTATCGTTCTTTTGTAATTAAATACACAATTTAACTAAAAGAGGGCAGAGAATGTAAGATCAAATATTTTGTCAACTGAATACCGATGCTATGAATTTATATCAGTAAAATATTTTATCAAAGAAATTTGGAAATATCGATCTAATATGATGGCATATATAATTTAACTGAAACGTTTGGCGGCTTTCGGCCACATCACTTTGAAAAACCAAGCTTAGTCAGTAAGTACCTCGATGGGTGACCACTTGAGTATATCAGGTGCTGTAAGCTTGGATGTGCGGGTGGTGTGATGGATAATGGCTTGGAATTGTCAATCGGAGAGCCGAGTTCGAATTCCATTTGGGTTCGTTAACATTCACTTACGCACAAATACACTTTGGAATGTTATAAATTCACCTCTTATCCCTCCACCTGCTATGGGTTATTTAGTTCCTGGATTTTTATCACTCAATCATTATTATCTCACAAAAAATTCTTACAATCTAAAAATATTTGTTGCCTTTAAGTAACCTGGAAAGTTCCTTTCACATTGTCTAATAAGCTTAATAACATTATCATTGAAAGACGAAAGGAAATCACTATACTGATACAAGTTTAAATCCAATCTAAGCTTTTGGCTTACATAAGCCATTATCAAAGATGACAATTACTTTTCAATATATCAACCAATACACGTACGAAACAATAATGATAGTCTGTTTTTGTTGCATGAAAAATTTCAAAGCAACGACTAAGTCGTGTAAAACCAGACAATATGAAAGGAACTTACTTAAAATAAATAGACAAAACTTGTCTATATTATTTAATGAAACATGCATTAATGAAAAATTGCTGCCTAAATATACACAATATATATATATATATATATATATATATATATATATATATATATATAATAAATATATAAAAGTGAACATAAGTCAAAACTTAGAGGCGACAGTCTGTTTCATGCTATATGCAATCGTCAGGCCTGACGATTGCATATAGCATGAAACAGACTGTCACCTCTAAGTGTTGACTTTATGTTCACTTTTTATATTTCCACACGCTCTATCTCTGATATTGAGCACTTTATCCCATAAATATACCACACCTTAAGACTATATTTCTTCATATATATATATATATATATATATATATATACTAAATATGCACAATATATATATATATATATATATATACACAATATATATGTGTGCTGTGCGTGTATTATTATCATGATTCTTATCATGATAGTAAGGCCATCGCATATAAACTGCATATACGGCTTACAATTTTTTTCTTCCTTTTGTCAGTTATTTTGCCAACATTTTTCTGATATATAAAAATTATATATCCTATTCTCTCACAATTTATATGTGCAAAAAAGAAATGCCTTGTTCGCACGCAAGAAAATACAGTAAGCAACATGAGTAGCTTGTCAAAGATTTTTAATAACTTAGATCATTGGTTAAATACAAAACTATTATCTAAAGCTAAAACCAAAAGCCCAGAAGTTTGAAATGTTATATAGAAGCCTATGTAATGTATTTCAGCGTTTTTAAGTGAGGTTAAATATTTCCTATTAACCTTCATTTCACGGCACACTTATGAAAAGGCAACATTCTAAATGTTAAAAGTAAAACCTAATCAAAATACTCGGCATTTTTTTTTGTAGGTCGAATGTGCTTATCGATGAAACCCGATAGCAAAATCTCTCTCCATAGGATTTCTGAAAATCCGCAGCAATGTTTCATTATTAATGCCTTGTGAATATATGAACATTTCGAAACCACCCGGTGCTTTTTCTAAACTGTTATTGGGAAAATCGCTGTTACTTCCGTTCTAACTGTCTGGGTGGAAATTGAACATCTGGACACGCCAAGGTGTACCAATAAATGCTTGCCATACATAACAAGGCGGGTAGTTTTCATATTTCCATGTCATTTTTTCTATCTTCCCCCTCCCACTTTCAATCTCAACCTGTCCATATTGACCTTGCTACTCATTTGCTAATGTGCTCTTATCTATCTATCTATCTATCTATCTATCTATCTATCTGTTCATTATTTATCGATCTATCTATCTATCTAACACTGAGGTTTACGGCCATATCACACATACATATACATATAACATTGTATATTCATTTTCTTATATATATATAAAGTGTTATATTTAAATAGAATTATGTGTTTTTTAATGCACGTAAGTATTATTATAATATAATTGTTATTGTGCATTGTATTATTGTAACATTTACAATTTTGTATTTTTGTTTATTTACCAATTAAGATAGATAGATAGATAGATAGATAGATAGATAGATAGAGATAGATAGATAGATAGATAGATAGATAATTGAGTATATGAACATCAATGCCTTTCGGATTTAATTAAAAATGACTGCAATGGTTCTTCTGTAAAAATGACTTCTTTTGTTTGCGCAAACAAGAGATTTATTTTTTGAACTTAATGCGTGTCAAATTTGTCTAAATAATTGTTCCTTTCACGCGCTTTCGGCTAATCTGTCAGCCATTTCCATAGATTGTTCAGCTATTGTCAATGGCGTAAACGTGCTATTGGGAATACTATGTAAGTTGCTGAAAGTTAGACACATTTTCAAATATCGAATATTGCACGTCTCTACGCGTAAGCGATAATGGCTCTTCACAGCTTCCTTTTTTCATTTTCTGCGGATTACCATGAATTCTCCTGGAAGATATAAGTTAATAGAATTGAATGGTTTACCACTCCTTTCTCCCTGGTTTGGAATACAAAGCTTTCCTTATCTTAGATTGGTTTCCTCCCAAGTCTAGAAAGCTTAGTCTGCCCTTTTATTTAACCTCAAGCCGGGGGACAATAGATGGTATGCCTTTCGCAATTCTATTTGTTGTAAAGTGAAAATAACATCATTGACGAAAATTTGAACTCAGATCAGCCATTCCATTTTTTGTTTCGATGACCTCTATGCCGCTTATACAAATATAAATAAAAGAATAGACGGACGTAAAAGGATTTAAAATTAAGCAACACACTCAATGCATTCGTGTACCACTGGAATCATCGGGACAACCGTTTCGACCTAGAAAATTCTATTTCAACAAGAAAGTTTTACACGGACGGTGATACACTATTTCACCTTATTGAACGGATTATTTCAATTATGTGTAAAGTTTAAGAAGAAAATGCAAATAAAACCGAAACTGAAATTGCATATCGATAATTATAGATTTAGAGTTAGATTTCAAGAGTTCAGCCACTTTATGTGAACGTTTTGTCACTCGCTAGATTTAGTTCTTGTAAAATAAGATTCTTTTCTTAATGAAACTGGTTCAGAATCAAAACATATCGCAATGGAAGTTTTCCAAATTGCCCGTTATATATAACGGCAATATGGAAAAGGCAATAATTAGAAAGGTCAAAAGTTTGAAGCCACTCCCAGAATTAGCATGGGATAAACTTGACAGAAGAGTGAAAAAAAAAGAAACAGAGCGCATAGAGTCACTGAAAAAAAGAATGAAATTAATTATCAAACTTATACATTGAGAAATTTTTGCAACGAATGCCAAAAATTTGTCTTGTAGTCATCAAGGCTAAAGGAGGGAATTTGACGAGAGCAAAATTTAATCATAAAATGTTTTTTTCTTTCTGACATAATAAAAATTTTAATAAAAGTCATGTTTTCATTTTTTTTTAAACATGTATAATAATTTTCACTTATTTAAAGTACAAAACAACTACTTTTGGGGCAAATTTAAAAAATTACTAAGCGTTTCATCAGACTTTGGAAATATAGTGTATATACATACATATATATATATATATATATATATATATATATATATATATAGATAGATAGATAGATAGATATAGATATAGATAATATTAGTAGTCAATATATATATATATATATATATATATATATATATATATATATATATATATATATATATTAGTAGTCAATATATATATATATATATATAGATATAGATATAGATATTTCAAGAGGATAAAATCAAGGTAGCGCTCTATGTACAAGACAGAGCAAGAATATAATATAAAAGGCTCAAACACTAATATTCAACTGGGATCGTAATCACGATCCAATTCATCAAAACCTACAAATTCAAAAAGAAAACTTTTTCTTTTCTTTTTGAATTTGTAGGTTTGATGAATTGAATCGTGATTACGATTCCAATGGAATAAATTATAATCAAGACATATTAGTGTTAGAGCCTTTTATGTTATATATATATATATATATATATATATATATATATATATATGTGTGTGTGTGTGTGTGTGTGCGTGTGCGTGTGTGTGTGTGTGTGTGAAAATTATTTTCAGATAGACTGTATCTTCAAAAAAATGTCTAAAAAGCCATAGGGAAAAAACTATTCTTAGCCAAAAAACCTTTACATTTGCCTTGATAAAGTCTCTCAGAAGACGAAACACGTCAGTTAATAATAGTTTTTACACTTGTTACATATATATATATATATATATATATATATATATATATATATAGTGGATACTCATTATTAAGATAGACGGGGTTCGCCGAAGGAGCGTTCAAGGCGCGGTCCTCGTCAGATGTGTTCTCCCATTTGCCAATCATTCCCCCCGTACGCTATACTTACGCTAATGACTATCTGCCAGACTTCCATCACCATGACTTTCCCAGTGTCGATGAAGTTCGAGGTCACAAACAAGGGTCCTATTCATGACCGGCCTTGAGCATTATCTCATCTAACATTGAAGGTGTCACTGGTGCCAAACAAGATTCTTCTCTTGGCGGACCCGTGTATGCAACACAGATGTGACATCCTATGCCTTCAAGATGTGACATCCTATGCGTCTCGTTTCTTGGAAACTTACATCAAGATCGCACATTCATTCTGGTCGGATTTCGTATACCTTAATGTAATTAACCATTGTGATTTCTATAAATAACACGCATAGTTTAGTCTGGCATAAGATCATAATAGCAGGGAGCATACTGTGAATCGAACGCCGGTTAGTAAATGCATGCGAGACTTGCTTAAGAACCGTGACAACAATCTGCTTTACAACAAGCTTAGTAGCTCGATTTATATGTATGCGAGATGGTCCAGTGTATATGCAAATATTGGCGTTTTCTGTCTTTCGGAATAAATGTTTTTCATGCAGGTGTTTTTGAGTGTGTATTCGTTTCAAACCGCTACACATCAAATGTGCGAAAGAATTGTTTTATTTTTCAATTTTTATTCGATGCAAAGCGACGCGAAAAGGTGTCGTCATTTCCAGTAAGTATGGATTCGTTGATGATGTTAGCTTGTAGGATATTACGTTTATGACGAACGACTTAATGAAAAGGACAAAACAAAACAAAAGAAAGAGAAAATACAGAAAGACGACATCAGAATCAGTTGGACAAAATAGCTTTTAAAGTATTTGCTTGGAAAATGTCGAACTTGTCCATTTGGGATGGAGATGGTATTTTGACGATGGCGAATAACATATGAGAATGACTTTTGCTTTTGTAAAACGGAAATACATTATGTTTTAATTCACCTATTGAGCTAATCATGTGTAACACTTTACGTCACAAAAAATGTTGGAACCGCTTACTAACCTTGACATATTTGAGATAGATAGTACAATGACCCTGAACCTATATAAACAGCAAACTGACTGCATGCTGATAAAAATGAATTCCCTGGATATACAAAAATATAAAGGGGTGTAAGACAAGGATGTGTCTCCTCACCGGACTCATTCAACCTTTACAGTGAGACGATCCTGATAAAATTAGAACTCCTAACAGAGTTAATTATTAGCGGCCACAATTTTAACAACATAAAATAGTGTTGATAGCCTATATGGAAAAGGAACTACAAAGATTCCTACATAGTGAAGGAAAGCGAGAAGAAAGGAGTAAACACCAACTGAAAGAAGACGGAAGAACACAAATTCCAAATTGGAAATACCAAAATCAAAGAAGTACAAAAGTTTTAATATCTGGCAAGCGTTTTAATAGAGGACTGAAAGTACGACACAGAAATCCTGGATAGCCAAAGATACATTCCAAAATCTAAGTAGAGTATAAAGAAACAGAAAAAATCGTTATAAACAAAGAAACGTGTACTGATCTGTTACGTGATATCAGTCCTCTTATATGGCAGTGAATGTTGGACAAATATCTTCAAAGATGGAGAAGAGACGTGAAGCAACAGAAATGTGGTTCTGCAGAAGGACGCTGAGGATACCATGGACCGAACAGGTTTTAGAGAAAATGGAAACAAAAAGAGAACTTTTACTTAACACCAAGCGATAGTTGAGGATAGTTGTGGTGCATAAGGAGGAAAACGGGTTTGGAAAATCTGATACTCACAGAACAGATTGAAGGAAAGAGGAAAAGAAGAATACAACGCATAACATATTTAATGAGCTTGAGTAAATGGATGGCGGAACAAGGTTAAGGACAGGAAATTGTGGAAAGCCATGCCTATGCCGTGAAGGTACACGATTATTATGCTTATATTAGGGTGCTTAGAAAGTAATTACGTATTTCTCTAAATGTCATTCAATTAACACAGCTTCCTGTGCCTTTTCTATAAATATTTTTATAGTAATTGTTCTGATGGACTTTCCTTTTTGATACTTCGAGTTGACGATTTTAAGATCAGTACTAAATTGACGGCAAGGTCTCCTCATTTTACAGTTTAAATGGATCAATATGACCGTAAGTTCTATGCTAAAAGTTTCTTCTATTGCACTTCCCGCTTCAGGAACTCTCTTCCGGCTTGTTCATGACAACAGAAAACAAAAACCACAGTGGATATCACAAAATGAGAAATCAATGCCAACAGCAAAACAATGATCCTATCCACAGAAGTCCTTGCTTCGTGTCTGGTAGAACGTTAAAGGTACTTTTGAGTAATGCTTAATGGTTCGAACTGTGGAATCGGAGAGCCGAGTTTGACTTCCAGACGCGTTCAATACATTCACTCACGGGTTAATACCTTAGGGAAAGGCATAAATCCATCATCCCTCCCCCAACTACGAGAAAATAGCAGGAAAGATATTTGTGTCAACCAGTCTAGGATTGAATTCAAACCGGATCACACTATCTTAAAGTGTGTATACATGAGGCTGGGGATCCCCGTTTGTTTTTCCAAATTGCCACTGAAACTCTTTTAGATTTGCACATCCAAATGAATACAACCTCTGCTACGCTTGGTCAGCTTTTTTTCGGGGGATTCGTTTGACGGAGCCTGGTCAACCGATCCTGGATGAATACCGTAACAGGTACAAGTAATGTTTAAAGGCATCGTCCATTACGAGCTACTGGAACATGGAAGAAAAATAAAATCATCAGGATGGGACGTTCTTCTGCAT